TATAAGTTGACGTCAAAACTAAAATAAATTGGCAAGTCATTGATGTGTTTACTCGTTTTAGATCGAAAGTCAAAGTGTTTGTTATTATGCAACATGTTTAATTCCCATGAAAGGCAAGACGCAATTTAAGTTCAAGAGTAATCAGTCTATAAACCTCATCTTAAGTAACAAAAATAACATGAAAATAGTTATAACATGTAAAGCGAATGGAGCGTAATATATCGCCCGTAGAAAATAGTTTGAAAACTTATTGGAATGTAATTGACGGATTACAAGATAGGATATGTTGTGATTATGACAATTGAAGTATTATGTCTAGTAAAATCAAAATCGTCCATATAAACAAAAATGTCATAGATCTATTCTCCACAAAACAAAAACCAAATAGTACACAACTCACTATTACTAATATATACTACATAGTACTACTCCTAGTTGCTAGAGCATCCTTGATTAATCAAGTTGAATTCGAATTTACTTAACAAACAAAATAGAATTGACCTACAAATGAAAGTTTAGACCAATGATTTTTTTTGAGGACCAAGTAAATGAAGTAGTAATAATTAGTGCTCTTCTACTTTTTTTTAGCCATCTACACTCAAATAACGACAAAACTCTTCACACATGAAATGCAGGACTTGTGATCTTTATTGCGATTTGTTAATGTAATCTGATACAAAATTTAGATGATAAATCCAATATCCAATCAAATAATTTATATTCCACTAAAAAGTAATACATGCATCTTTAATTGTTAGACAAAAATGGAAAAGAGGGGTAAAAACAGATTTACCACATTTTTCAGAAATAGAAAAAACCCCTAAATGGAATTTGACTTTTTTTTTATATTTACCGCCAATAGAAAAAATCCCTACAAAAATTAAAGACTTCACACAGTCAGACAGAGTCCTTTATATCCACAATCACTATACTATTGGCTTCTTCTCAATATAAACGAGTGACCCTTTTCACTCTGCATCCTCCTCCCTCCCTCCTTTTCTTCTTCGCTATCAGGAAAGCTCAGATCACCGTTCCTTTTCTTCTTTCTTCTGATTTTTTTTTTCTTTTTGGGAATTCTCAACGCAGCAGCATGGTACCCCGAGATGGTGGCTTATATGCTACTTCTGTTTCTGAGCAACAGCTTCATCAAAACTTTGAATCTATGAACCCACAAGTTAACGATCATGATGAACGCGTTGGCTATCTGAACACCAGCCTTAGGCTAAAAAGCCGAAGTATGAGCTCAAATTCTGATGAAGATGGTCGCCCCAAAAGATTCAGGCCTTCACCAGAATCTAATTCAGAGGTTCGTTACATGTTCTTCCTTTGGTTTGCCTTTGTTTAAAGTTTTTAAATCTAAGTTGCACTATGCATGGTTGCTTTTTCTTTTTCTTTTTTTCTATTTTATGTATCTGCATGTGTTTTTTCTTTAGTTTTTGTATGTGTCTTTTCCGCACATGTTTTTTAGGTCGGCACACCTTGGCCCCTCCTCCACTTCGAATCCACATTTGTTCAATTTTATTTAATCTTGTTTTTTTTTTTTTTTGCTTTCTAGCTCTTTCATGTTAGATTGTGCTTTGTTTTCATCCTTGGCGGAGAGTTTCTTCATTTTCACTCCATTTATTTTCAATTTTTATATCTATAGAGAACATAGATATGAACATCTAATTAGCTAGTAAAAACAAAGTAAATCAAGTCATTAATCAATAAAAAACAAATCAACCATTATTTGATTTGTAAAAAATGAAAAACAATTTTGTTAATAAATATTTTTGCTTTTCTTTCATAACCACATTAATTAATTATTGAAATTTTTGCAGGATGGAGAAATGAATTTAGTCAATGAGGCGAACCTTCTTGGTCTGACACTAAAGAAGACACCATCTTTTTTGAACTTAATAGAAACGCAACTTTCAGAAGGAAAGAAAGGAAGTTCTTCTAGCAGTCCTCCACGCCAATTAGGAAGACCAGCAGCTTCTTCTCGCAATGTAAATCAAATGAATTCTTCGAAAAATGCTAATAAAAATAGGTCAAAGATGGAGGATTTTGCTGCAATTTCTGAAAAATTGAAGGCTTCCAACTTCCCTGCTATAAAGCTCAAGATTGGTGATTGGGAGGTAAAACTTGTTTGGGCTTTTGCATGTCATAAAGTATTTTAAACAATTAAAATAATAGTAGTAATTATTATCATTACTTGATGAAACCATAAGACTTCTTAATGATATACTTATCATTTAGCTTTTATCTTAAATTTTAGACATTGATCTTTGACAAATGAAGTAATTTAGTTGTTCTTATTTTTTATTTCTAACAATAATTAAAAGGGAAATGACAGTGTATAGTCGCGTCGAATGTATATTTTTTGTATATATATACATCCCGTATGTTATATACAAAAATTATACAAATTATATACATTTTTTTTGGCTACCAAATATAAATAGTTTTTTGCGCGGGTTAAAAGTAATAATACCCATGTAGGACCTGGTGATAGATAACATCTTGTCACCAATCTGTAAAAGCACCTTATTACCACATAATTTTAAAACAAGAACCGCCCCTTAAGTTTTCATATTTTTTACACAACTGATGATAAACTTTAGTGCAATCAATTTCAAAAATAAAGTTTCTATCCAAATAGAATAAGATAACTTCTTATTAGCATAATTGACTAAAACAATTATTCGCATAGCACACCCAAATCTAGATAAAGAAATTATTTGCTAGGTTAACATCATACATAATTAAAATAATGTAATCATAATCCGTGAAATTTTAGAACTTGTTCATATTTAATAGGGAAAATCTCACATTTAGCCAGCAGCACAAAACTTTACATCTAGTAGCCGCGAAAGTGTATAACATTTGTATATTTTTTGTATATAACAAACATCAACGTATGTATATATACAAAAAATATATATATTTCGGTTATTATTTTGAGAGTGGCTATGCAATATCATTTTTCCTATTTAATGTTACATAGGGTACAAATGATTTATGATTAATATAAACCAACCATAACTAGTTTAAAAAATTGCATTATAACTAATTGATTGAAATAACTAATTAATGAAATCTTTGGCAGAGAGTTTCAAGGTACGAAGGTGATTTGATAGCGAAATGTTATTATGCTAAGCGAAAATTAGTGTGGGAAATTCTAGATGGACCGCTAAAGAGCAAGATTGAAATGCAATGGTCAGATATCATTGCTATTAGAGCCATTATTCTACAAAATGATCAATCAGGAGTTCTCGAGATTGAGGTTAATTTCTTTTCTCTCTTAATAGAGTCCTTAATAGTTTTACTTTTGTTAAAAATATTAATGTTATTGTAATTTTGGATTTAATTATTTTTTACCACATATAATTACCATTTATACAGTTGAATCAACCACCTTCCTTTTATCGTGAAACAAATCCTCAACCAAGAAAGCACACATTGTGGCAGCAGACATCAGATTTTACTGGAGGCCAAGCTCCCACTTACAGGTGAACTTTCCCTTTCAGTAAATTAAACTTTCTCTATTTTATGTTTTTTTTTTTTCTCTATTTGAAAATAAAATACTTTTAAATGATTTTTTAAACTAATATATATTTTTTAGGAGGCACTGGGTTAGATTTCCTCCTGGAGTACTTGACAAGCACTACGAGAAGCTACTGCATTATGACGCAAGGCTGAATGAACTAAGCAAACAACCTTTCCCTAGCCAATTATCTCCTTATTTTGAATCAGATGTTCCTGAGTTTTCAGATTACTTTGACAATAGATATGGACCCCAGTTTTTTTACAAGATGCATCATCCTATTCGTTTCTCTTCTTCTTCTGTTTTAATCCCTAACCGTCCAATGCATAATAAAAGGACAACGATGGCACCTGTCAGAAATTTCAGTTCAAGCTTTTCAGTGTCAGGTATGCACGATAATTACTCTATATAACTGTTTAATTTTATCACTCAAGCAGGGGGAAGCCACCTTTTGCTCTGGACCCTTCGTCAAAATATTACGAAAAATTACACAACATATATAAGTAAAATATTGAATTGCGCCTTTTTTCATTAAAGCGCATGCTTTATTTGCGCTTTGCGCTTAAAGCCTCAACAGATCTTAGAGCTTTTTTGCGCTTTTCACCTTTGATAACACTGTTGTGAATGCAGGTGAAAGGAGAAGTAACTATGCAAATACCGACCAAAGGAGGGTGCTTTTGCAACAAGGATCAAACAACTTGGTGAATGTTGCAATGGGAAATCAAACTACTGGAATGTTGCCAGTTTCTACAACACCACAAGCTAATTGGGGTATTCCAACCCAGAATTATCAAGCTATGTATCAACAAAATGAGTTGACGGGACATAATCAAGATAATGTAGTGCTAAACTATATAGAGAACCATTTATTGAATGACAATCAAATGGCATCCTCCAACGAATTAAAACTAGTTGGAAATGCAGACTCGATGTACTCATTGCTCGAGCATCACCAAAATGGAAGTGTCGATGCTACAAGTGATGAACATGGTTTAAACTTTGGTTATCATACGATAAACAACAACTATGCACAGGATGCTGTACCAAACAATGGACTGGCTTACGCGGAGCCAATTAATTGGATGGTTCCTCAAGAAACAAATCAAAATCTAAAGCTGGAACAATTTATGGAGCATTCAACTAGTCTTTCTACCTATTCTGATACAATCCATGGAAGTTATCCAACTCTAGATGTTTACGGCGAACAAAAAAGTAGGGTTCAAGGGGAGTAGGCGACAAAAGATCTTGTTCCGTGTTTTTCCTTTTTGCAAGTACATTATTATTGTCTTATCAGAAAGTAGATAACTTTGGGACCTCTCAAATTAAGGGGTCTCCTCGTCAATTCTACTTTCATCTTTCATTGGGGTTAGATGTTTTCTTTTAGCCTATGTTTCTATCGATGCAAATGAGCAGAGTCATATAAAAGAGACTTTATTGTAAGTCAAGATGGAGCATATTATGAGAAGCAAAAAGAGTTCCAACATCAATAGTAAAAAAGTAGTAGCTCAATAGTGTAGTGTCACCTAATAATACTAAGGGTGTCTTAATCCAAAATTGTTAAAGAAGCAAAAAGAAAAAAAACCACCTTCTCACCCTCCAAAGGTTTTTAAATATTAATTCTAAGCTTTAGATTCTATTGCTGAAGACTTCACGGGGCACAAGCATAAGACATCAACTTTTTAACTTTTGAATACTCACAGGACATGTTACCGAACATCGTTACTTACTGAGAAACATTTCTTCAATGATGCTGGAGTTAATTTAGCTAGTGATTGACAAATTGAGGTTGATTTGTCCCCTGTTTTTCTACCGGCCATTAGGCATATGTACTCTGTCCCAACGATTCCTCTTTCTCCCTCTCTTGCATATTCTCTTCTTCTTCTTCCCCTCTTTTTGGCTGAGTTCCAATCTGACACATGTTGTTCTCTTTAGCTTAATCGACAGATTACTTGTTCAACTATTTCACTTATATTTTCTTCCCAATCCCATTGTTATCCAACATAAGCTCCCAAACTGATATAGAGGTTTCTCAAGCACAAAACATGCATCAAGACTTTACAAACCAATCAAGTAGAGCAAACTAAACTAAATGATGGTTTCATAAGATGAGCCCCTTATACTTTTTCCTACTCTTATTTGAGTTGGAGCAATTCCCAGAACAGCTCAGAATTAGTGAATAAACAAAAAATGAAAAAAGAGCATAGCATAATTGTCTGCGGATAAAATTGGTAAATTCAGAAATAAGAATAAGTAGGCATAACTTCCAATAAGCAGAATAAATAGACATGAGTTAAGTGCTATGCAGGCTAATGAGCATAGAGTTAGGATTCTTCAGCATCACATCCTAAGCAAGACATAATAAACATCTTACCATCAGAGCAGAATAATTTTGATAAACTCCGATAGCAAGCCTAAGATTCACTTCCCATCACTGGCTCCAGTTTTATCCTGGTTATATCTGGGTGACTTGAACTGAAAGTAAAATCGGCAAACCGCTTCAAGTGCAAATTATAAATAACCAGCAACTGCAATAACTCATAGCAGAAATCCTGTGTCAAGTTAGCAAATCCCTTAAATTAGTTGCTTCATTCTAGAAAGCTCAAATACATTTAATCAAACACTTGATATAGGATATACAATAAGGACAAGGGACTACTGCTTTCAACAACGGCATCTTTCTTTCGTAGTAGCATATCTACAAGTAATTAACCAGAGACGGGCATGGAATTCTATGCACAGAGCAACAATAACCACAGCTGAAGTTACTAGCAACTGCTTTATTAGTAAACTGAACTCTCATTTTACATCACTAGTATCGAGTGATCATAAACAGGCATGTACTGAAGACAAAGACGCATACCAAGCCTGATTCTAGTCCACAGGCCTATTTCACTATAATATGGCAAGAAGTATAGGTCATTAAATCGTCATCCCTTTCAGAAGCTTGTGGAGCCTGCATACAAAGGTTGGCCACAGTCTGAGCAGTATCATATGCGCTATCCAACCACCTAAAGGTGGCCTCCATGCTGCCCAAATGCAAAAGCTGATTTCACTTAGCTGCATTTTCTCTGTACCAAAGCTCGATTGTGGTTTATACAAAAATATATAAAAAATAAACGCATACAAAGAAAGCTCACCTGTGACATCTAGTGACTCAGTGATAATAATCACTAAACAAGAGTGCTGTAAAGGAAGTACAAACTGACCATCCTTTAGTTTAAAATGCCTAAAGCTCGCCAGTCATTTGTTTTACAAAGAATATACTCGTTATTTATATCAAGATGGCAAGGAACCAAGAGATCTAAACAAAAATTTGAAAATAAGGAACCTACTGTACCTGATGTCTATAATCCTATATCATCTTAGAACTTTGGAGCTAAAACTGACCAATTAATATATCCCTCCTCTTATTATAATTAAACACAAGTTTGCACTATGTAATAAGCGATTATAAGGCGGTTGTTTGTGATCTTCTTGTGAAGTATGTTTTATTGTCAAAATAAATACCTTGATAAGTTGGAGCCATTGGCAAATCTTAGATCATCCTTCCATTCCTTTTTGAACCAACAATGTTATCAGTTATCTCTTTCATAGGTGAGGTTCAGCTGTAGAATTAACATAAGCTGAGCCTGGGGATGATCGACTTAAATCATATCCTTTTGCTCTTCACAACCATACTGATTGTAAATTCAGATTGCAATAGTGTCAAACAAGCGAAAGCATTAATAAGCGGAAGAAAGAAAGTATAAACAATACCCTTGGGTGGAGTTTGACTGCTTCCTGGTCCAGGCATTTTCTTCGATGTTATAAACATAGAAATTCACAAGATAGAGAAAACAAACATCTATTAAAGCAGTCGTAGAACTCATTGATAGAAACTACACTGATATGTTAGTCTGTGGGTTGATTCTAAATAAAGCTATTACCACAAAGAAGCACCTTGTTTCTTTATAACATTCATTTGAAACAATTAGTTAAGCATTCCTAAATGGAACATGCTAGGCAATACTTGGAAATTAGTAGATCTTAATTCTTATGAATATAACCAACAGCACTGAATCATAAGCAGTGGCGGACCCAGGATTTTGTGCAAGCGGGTTCAGTCGGAGAAGTCCATAACTAACATAAGCGGTATAAGCTGTATAAGCGGGTTCAAAAATAATTTCTATACAAAATTTACCTTGCTTTAGCCATAATTTATACATATACACAGTATTATTTTTTGACGAAGCGGGTTCAGTTGAACCCACTTCTCACCACTTGGGTCCGCCCCTGATCATAAGGAACCCGAACCAAGAAGATAAGCGTATACTAGCTGGACTGGGCTCCTAAACAATAGATAGGCTTTCTATACCACATGATATGTTCAATTTTTAGCATGTTTGTTCAGAGGAGTTTAGCAGGGAAGAGGAGGAAGGTAGCAAAATAACAAATGCAGATAAATCATTCAGAGAAACCAAAGAAATTGCCAATAAAGTACATGCTAATGCATTTGTAGAATTGCTTTAATTAGTAGGAGTAGCTTTTTCCTGAGTCTTCTCCATCAATTTCTTGATCCCAGAGTTGGACAAAAATTTAAGGGCTTACCAAATTCCAAATCCCCAAAATGGTTATAAAAAAAATTGGATTCTTTCAGCCGCAAATATATCAAACTAAACCTCCTAAGGTAAAGCTGAAGCATATCACATCAAAAAGAGAATGAACAGAAAACTTGCTCAAGTTGATGAAGAGCATAAAAGAACTCCCTTTTGTCTGCTTCTCTACAACAACAACATACCCAGTATCCCACAAGTGGGGTCTGGGGGAGGGTAAACACACCTTATCCACACGTTGTGAAGGTAGAGAGGCTGTTTCCAATATACCCTCGGGTCTCGGCTCAAGGAAAGTTTTGTCTGCATCTTTGTGGCAGCAAAATTTAGAACCTTACTTTGCTTGCAGCACACCATAAACCCATAGAATTGTAGATGCCTTCACAAATTATGTAGATAAGTATCAAAGCCAAAAAAAAAAAAAAAAAAGCATATATGTGCATTAGCTATTTAGCCTTGAACATATCAATCTAAATTTGAAACTGAAGAAAAGAGATAGGATATGACTAACTAACAATAAAATTTCAAAATTAAAATATAATTTAAAATGAAGAAAGACAATTTAATCAGCAATGACAACGACAATGAGGCAAAGGGAGAGTACCGAGAGATTATGCAAGCGAAATTATATAGATTAGCACTATATAAATAATAAAGCTCTCGCAAGAAAACATACACAAAAAGGAAAAAAAATTTCACTGATGAAATTCTACAAGAGGAATTTGCAGAGTTTGGTATTTGGTTAAGTTATTGCCTATTGATGAGGATATATGATCGCGTGAATTTCTTACCTTCAGTTATCAAAAATCGTTATATTATGTTTATGCCTGAAATATTTATTCTTCAAGATGTGTCAGCCAATAAATCATATAGTAATTCTTAACTAACAAGAGATAGCTGTGAACACAGAGTAAAAGGATTTAAGGTAACCTTTTGACTACTGTTTTATTATGCGTCGCAGTTTGAGGGTATTGACTTTCGTTATCGAAAAATAAAATAAATTATAAAGTTTTAAGAGTATTAGGAATTAAATATGAAGAATATGGGAATTTTTTCTAGTAATTAAAATATATCAAAGTTTTTCATTTAAGAGAAAGTGGAGAACATTTTTTAGACAAACTAACATGAAAAGTAGGATAAATAATTTTGGGACCGAAAAAGTAATTGATATTAAGAAACTCTCTAATTCATAGTCAGAACATAAAATGTTGAAATGAAATATCCATGGTTTTTTTTTAATTGATTCACTTGACAGATTAGAAGATAATGTAAAATATAAAATTTACAATTTTCATAAAAACAAGTACTAGAACTTTCTTTTTTTTGGTCTAGACTAGTAGTGGAAAAAAAATTATGTAAGCACCAACTTAATAGATCGGTAGATTTCGAAAATCAGATAAACTTTTTTAGTGGGTGTTTGGACATAAGAACTGTAAAATTTAAAAAAAATTCAAGTGAAAATGGTATTTGAAAATTATAGTTGTGTTTGAAAATGAATATAATTTTGGGTTGTTTTGAATTTTTGTGAGTGATCTGAAGTGAAAATTTTGAGAAATAATTTTTTGGAGTTCTTCAAATTTTCGAAAGATTTCGAATTTCATCTTCAAGTAACAGCTTGTTTGGATGGTCTTTACCTATCGTATCATATCGTATTGTTACTTTAAATACAATGTTTGTTTTGATTGTTACTTAAATTTATTGTATCGTATCGTTAAATCCGTCGTTACGTAACGATGAAATGTGTCACTTTATGTAACGACCGATTTGGTGTGGTCGCGTCGTTTCCTTGTGTTTTTCTCTCAATCTCACCCTTCATTATTATTAAATAATTTTATTTTATCATTTACCCTACCTTTTTATATACCGTATCATAATTTTTCTTTATAATATTGCAAGTTTATTCATCATATCACAGGTGCGTGATACCATGAATTGACGTCAAAACGACACAATCCATCCAAACATTGTATTCATCAAACGATACAGTACAATACAATACAATACGATACGATACATTAAGAAACGATACGTAACAACCATCCAAACAAGCTGTAAAAAACGGTTTATTGCGAAACATATTTCAGAAAAAAAAAAAAAAAAAAAAAGAACCTTTTTTTTATGGCCAAACGGGCTCTAAATAAAATTGTTTTGCAAGTTAGCAGGCTTAGAATCGACGGGCCGTGAACCAAATGCAGGACGGGTCGGTCAGCCCAAAAGATCACACCATTTCAAAGAAGTCTCCACTCTGAAAACCTCTTTAACGACCTCAGCTCAAAACCCTAGTGGCACATAGCATTCAACCGCGAACTGGTAATAATTTTCCCACACAACCACTATTGCCATGGCGGGAGGGAAGATGAGGAGAGACAAGCCCCACCGTGGTGCATCAGCCGGCGGCGGCGGCGGCTCAAATCCTCACTTTCAGGGAGGGATATCATTCCACAAATCAAAGGGTCAGCACATTCTGAAAAACCCTCTACTGGTTGATTCTATTGTCCAAAAAGCCGGAATTAAATCTACGGATGTCATCCTGGAAATTGGTCCTGGTACCGGTAATCTTACTAAGAAGCTTCTAGAAGCCGGAAAGTCAGTTATTGCTGTTGAGGTTGATCCTCGTATGGTTCTCGAATTGCAACGAAGGTTTCAGGGTACTCCTTTATCTAACCGACTCAAGGTATCTTATTATCAGTTTTTTTTCCTGTAAGATATTTATTGCTTAAAGGACCTTAAGTGTCAGTTGAAATAGCTCATAATTGAAAGAAAGGATGAATGGCAATGGATTGGGTGTTGTTAAGGTATAGCATAACCATTATCCAATTTTTCCAACCACTAGTTGGACTGCTCCATCCTTGCTGTATTGGCTTATACGTGTAATCAGGCCAATAACACTTTTAATGATTAAAATAACAATAGAAACCAAAATAAAAGCACAAATTTAATTTGTGCAATTGGTTTTTTCCTGGTTAAGTGTCTATGAACTCTATAATTGTTAATAACATGGTAATATATCTTCAGTTTAGTAGCTATGAGAACATAATGACAACATGCAAATCTAAGATCAAGTCATTTCATGTTCATCCAAGATTTAGGTGATGCGGTTCTATCCGCCTTGTACTTGCTAAGATTTTTAATTGAGTGTGTGTATATATATATATATATATATATATATATATATATATATATATATATATATATATATATAGTGCGTGTAGTAGGATAGTGGGTAAAATTTAGCTACCCGTACATTTGGGGCTGACTAAAATTTTAATCATCAGCCTTAGCTTTAACCCAAATTGTTTTTAAAAATGAGATTCAAATTCCATCCATACATGGTGGCTTTGAGATATCACTTGTCTACTTGCCTTATTATTTAAAAAAGAGATCAGTTGTCTAGTTAATTTCTGTTGGTTAACCAAATTTTGTGAAAAATTTTGCGAAGCTATAATGTGTATATTGTCCGTATTTTCAATTAAATGCGTGTCCCATCATATATATTTGTACATTGGGGTGCCGAAGCTGTTCTGATCTTATGATCTTCTGGCCTGCAGGTTATACAAGGGGATGTTCTCAAGTGTGATCTCCCTTACTTCGACATTTGTGTAGCTAACATCCCATATCAAATATCATCTCCTCTTACCTTCAAATTATTGGCTCATAGGCCTCTATTCAGAGCTGCAGTAATAATGTTCCAGAGAGAATTTGCTATGAGGCTTGTTGCTCAACCGGGTGATACTCTTTATTGCCGCCTTTCTGTGAACACCCAGCTGTTGGCTCGAGTATCGCACTTGCTCAAGGTAGGAAAGAATAATTTCAGGCCACCACCAAAGGTTGATTCTTCTGTAGTTAGAATTGAACCTAGGAAACCACTTGCTCCTGTCAATTTTAAGGAGTGGGATGGTTTGGTCAGGATCTGTTTCAACCGGAAAAACAAAACTATAGGTTCTATTTTTAGACAAAAATCCGTACTCTCTTTACTGGAAAAAAACTATAGAACTTTGCAAGCATTACAACTCGCTGAGAATGTTCCTTCGGAGGATGTGGAAATGGCGTTGGATGTATCTGCCTTGGGAGAGACATTTGGAGACTTGAGTATGGATGCCGATGATGAGAAGGATGATGACGAGATGGAGGTGGATGATGGTGATGCTAAAAGATCTGAATTCAAAGAGAAAGTTTTGGCAGTGCTAAAGGAAGGCAAATATGAGGATAAGAGATCTTCCAAGCTCGCACAAGCAGATTTCATGCACCTACTTTCTCTATTTAACAAGGCTGGCATACATTTTTCTTGATTCAAGGGGCAGCCAGTTATATGAGCTTATTGTTTCTTTCCGGTCATGTTGTGCTCTTTCTCCTCATGGGGATTCAATTTTGTTTCCATTGTAATGTTCTAAAAGCTTGAAATTTGTAGATAATTTGGACTTATTGTTTTGTGATATGGTGGTTTTGAATGAAATTAGAAGATCCTCTCCTCTTTGCAATACGTACCTTCCCAAGATTTTGCCTCTTGTTGCACCATTAAAGTCAATGTCGAATGCCTTTTCCTGTTCTGCGCTTTTGGTTGAGAACCATGCTACTGCCTCTATGGTTATAAACTGAAGTTCAGTTTTGTATTTACCATCATCGTAGTGACATACGTGAAGCAAATTTACAAGATAGTGGCCATACCTAATGGTTAAGTAATATTTTGTTTTGTGAGGAACTTCCAACCGATTACATATAGCTTTCTCCAATATTTTGTTCTTAGATTGAATCAGCCTTTAGGCTGTTCTAGTTTGAATTAATTTTTGTCTGACCAAATGTTACTTATCGAATTTTGACTTATGATGTTAGAACCAGTATGAAATGGATCCAGAGTTGGCATCAAAGAGAACAAACTCACCCCTTATACAGATAGCTGCACTTTCCGAGGCAGATTAGAAATCGAAAACAACCAAGAGCTTATTCATGAGCTGAGAACAGTGGTTTTCTGCTGAACTTAACATTTCAGTGGCATAATGTTGCTTGTGTAGAATTTATGTACCGTACTGGGAGGATGGGAGGGTTCAAGAAGAAAATCAATTGATCACGCAGTTACTCGTATATATTTTACTGTTATTACATAGTTTGGATAAAATAAAGCAGTCTCCTAGCAAGGAGTACCAGCTTGATCCAAAGATATTATTACATCAACTTCGTATAAATGATGTTATCCATGCGGTGTAACAGCAAAGAATAGTAGGCAGCATATGTTATTCCCATGAACTAGCAGGAATGATGTGTTATGACCAAAAAAATTTCTTTCAGCTTCTCCTCCTTTGCAATATAAGGCATCAGTAAAGCCGCCTTTTGGTGTCACAAAGTGGAGTTTGTGAACTGAGATTGGTGTATATTATCCATTTTCACTATCGATTGGCAATGTTCCCGGAAAATTAAGGTTAGAGGTCATTCTTCATCCTTGTCTAATGATGTCGAAAGAAAGCTCAAAATGAAGTCATCAATATCCCCTTCAAGCACAGAATCGGGATCTGAAACCTCATAATTTGTCCGGAGATCTTTCACCATGCGATAAGGCTGCAAACATGATACAGAGCAATTATGATGACTACATAAACCATAGATAGGCTGGTAAAATGAAAGGTTAAACTGTATGAAAGCATACATGGAGAACATAAGAACGTATTTGGTTGCCCCAGCTAATCTCAGTGAGAGACTGGGTATGTTGTGCATTCACTTGAGCCTGCCGTGCCATCTCAAGTTGGTCCAAGCGTGACTGAAGCACAGCCAT